ATGATGTCGCAAAGATTCAAACACAACACGTTTTGATAAACTATTCTCAATAAGACGGCCCCTAATTTTTTGTATCGATAACTATTATACTTAATTTAACCATATTCCATCCGAACCAGGGTGGGTCCCGGGACGCACCCTCTTATACTCTCCCTCCGCCACTATTCATACATACAAATTTAATTAACAAAATGTATCATGAAATTCATCAAACAACAATGGAGTTTATCAAATCCACAATGAACCAACAACTCTCATATATCAACGATTTTTCAAAACTGAAGTTATAACAAAATTTTATTTTCAAATCCACGAAGCAAACGATTATTCAAACAATGTACTCTTCCAAATCCATAATGGAACAATTCAATTATAAATTTAAAGATTTTTAAAACTCAAAATACTCATTTTGAAATCCAACAAGCAAACTAGGCAAAGTAACCTTCAAGTGCCAATGGGGGCTATGGTTTATGCAAAGAACTTTGGCACAAAGAAGACAAATTTCAAATCTTTCGTCTATGCTAGAGATTCCATATAAAAGAATACCATTTATTTTAAAATTTGTCGGGGGAAACTAGTTGACAATAATTTTCTTTCTTCCCATGTTGGGGTGCAATGGTTTCTTACGTGCGTGATGGGTACGTTACGTATCTTAATAGCCCCATGCCCGTGATGGTGAGAAAAGAAAAAGGAGTTAGCCGAAAATTGTCCGAGTTAACCTTAAGACTTAAATAGATCGCTTTAAGCGTAACATTGTCGGAATTTTAATTAAACACAACTAGTTTTTTACCCGCCCGTTGGGCGGTGTATTTTGTATGGTTGTTTTATAATTCGTTATAATATTCTAATTGTTATTATTATTTATGTTTGCTAAGGTAATATACATGGAATTGTAAATCCCACTTACCTTATTTCAGGTATTATTTCATACTTTTATACCTTTTGTTTATTTATGAACATTTTAATTTTATTAACTAAGCTCTTTGTAGAAGGTTCTTCATTGATTTAGAATTTTTATTTATCGAACTCGCCCTTTAAGATTATAAACATAAGAGATTATTCATTCTTTAGCACAGAATTGTGATAAAGAAGTTAAAAAACTTACGGCTACAAAAAAAGAAGTTAGAATAAGAAAATATGCTTCAATTAATAAAAAAAAATAAGCGAAGAGCTTTTTATTTTCTCTCCCTTCTCATATGTCGGTATATGATAATAGAGAATATTCCGATCTAAATCCCATGAATATCGTGTATTATCACTTACACATACAATTTTGGAATAATGAGGAAACTCATTAGCATCCACTTCCATCAATCTTCCATGTACTTGTTTAATTAGCTTGAAATGTTCTAGCAAAACCAACCACAAACAAAACTATTAGCTGTCACTAACTTATTAAAGCAATATTTTCAGCAAATTAAACTGCATATAATTAAACACAATTTATATTTTATAGAGAGCTATATATCTCCTGCAGAAAAGAATTGTGCTTTATTACCTAATAACAACATAGACAAACAATGAAAGGAGTAGTCTTCAATACAACTCAACTCATTTTATCATTCAGATTCCTCATCTGTGAACTGAATATATGCATCAATCCAAATAGTAGTTTGTAAGAAAACAATCATGTCAAAATCAATCTTCAGTTAGGGATTCAATGCATAAAAATTCACCTTAATGAAACAAACAAATGTCACCGCAAACATGTAGAAATTAAAAAAAAAATCGAAATAGACAACCGAGAAACCACCATTATAATTTTCTTTCTTCTTCACGACCTTTATAAAACCCCAATTATGTTCCCTTCTACTTATAACCCCTTTGCTACCTACTAATTACTAACCAGATCATCATTGTATAGCTAGCTAGTAGTAGCATGTCAATCATGAACATAAAACATATAAACAATCATCACAACTCTACTTTCCATTTCAACATTCAAGAAATCGGGTTGCAATAGGCATTCAAGAAAAACGATCAATTATTCAACCGAAGGAGGTATGCCCTAATTCCAACCAATTAACCCTTCTAATTATATTTTATATACATGAAAGTATATGGTGACCCTTCTCAGTAAAAAACAAAGAAGAAATATATTCACTCATCGAGAGTGGGAAAATTTACCATCCAGCAGTCGTAATTTGGAAGAAATTAAGAAAAGAATGGGAAAAAGAGTATAACTCGGTCAGTCAACAGCAAACAATAACATATTGCTGAGAAAGTGAGACCAGTTGCCAGCTTCAGATCAAGGAGGAAGAGGGAGCAGTCGACAACCCTCGGCTTGGTTCACCTTATCTTCACAATGATCAGATTAACTTTTTTCGTCAACAGGCAAAAATATGTTACAACTGCTCAAAATTTTGTCATCTTATCGTTGTCTCGTATAATTTCTGCCTCCTATTCTCATACAAAGAAAAAAAATCGTATGCATTACCATTTCCTTCTCTATAAATTATGAGAATACAAATATTAGAAATCTATAAAAATTTAGCAACTAATAAGAGGGCTTTGTTTATTTTTATGGTGGTTGACATACTTTCTTGATTTTTTATTTTCAATGTTGGATTTTATTTCTACAGAGACAATCAAAATGGGACAAGGGATAGAAACAAATTAAAAGTTTGTATTAATAATTAATATGTTTTCATTTAATCAAAATGAATAAGAAGTTTTACAAAAATAACAATTATTGCTCTGTCAAGTTTATATTCAGAAATTTTGCTATTTAATTTATACTTGTTTTATTTGATAGGTATATACATAAGAAAGAAGTGAGTGTTTGATAGCAAAAAACATATAGTCATATCGTTCATTTCTCAAAGTCAATTGATTGTCAAACGTTTATTTTCTCTTAGACCATCGTTTATATTTTGTATTGAAAATATTAATATTTATGTGTGTGCTTTTTTTTTCTTCATCAAAATGTAACTTATTATTAAGTTTTAGTAAAAATGAGTAGAAAATTTACTTAATCAGATTTAATCAGCTTGGGTTAAACAAATAGAATATATGTCACTCTCTGTTTCCATCTTTATAGTTTGTTTAATCGAATATTTTTTATTACTTAGGTGTGTGTTTTTTGTTTAAATGTTTCCTAAAAAATTAACTTATTTTAATTTTAGTAAAAATGAGTAGAATTATTAAAAGAAGAGAGAGAAAACTTCATAAATAGATCAATAAATAGTTTTTTGTTTGAAAAAAAATTGTCCACCTTGGCAACTTGTGCATTCACCAAGTGCTTATGTGGCAAGAAGTTATTTTTGAATAGCCATAATATTTAGTATAGATAGATATAGATAGATAGATATATATAGATATAGATAGATATAGATAGATAGATTAGGGATGAGAATAAAACCCGAATCCATGAGTATCTTACCCGACTCAATTTGGTAAACGCGAGTAAAATACATGTTCGGGTTTAAACTCAATACACTGTTCACGGGTTGGGTTTAGGTTTAGTGATACCCAACCAATGGATACCCGCCCACACTTATTCAGTCGCCCTACTCTCCCCAAACTCTACCCTAACTCTAATTTTTCCCAATCTAACTCTTCTCAAACCCTACCCTAATTTTATTTCTTACCAAGGTAATGTTTTCTTTTTTCCAAAAGAAGTGAGATGGATAAATTAATAATTGAAGTTAAACTTTGTTGGTTTGCTGCTCTCTAACAAACAAAAAGGGAATGAACGAAATACAAAGAATTGTGTGCATTTATTTAGTGTAATTGTGATTTGTTTGAATTTTCTAGACTAGTGTTTTATGTATGGATAATTTGTATGTGAAAATTGATGTTTGAATTTTATTTTAATAGGAACGTGTTATTATAAATTTTTACTATAAAAACCCACAGGTACCCATGAACCGGCGAATACCCAGTGAGATGAGTTGGGTTTGATTTTTCCAAATTCAATAGGTTTTATCGAGAATATTTTTTACGAATAAACTCATGAATTTGGGCTTGACAAATCCCGATCCAACCCGACCCATTGCTATCCCAATCACAACGCCAACACCAACCATATAAGATAATACTAGACGGACGAATTCAAATTACAATCCTGAACCTCCGGGGTAGATTGAAGTTTGAAATCTCTTTGTTATTTCTTTGGTGGGTTTTCTGAGGTTAAGACACCGAGCGATCAACAATTAGTGAATTACTGTTCAGAAAAGGGGCACTTTGACTACTGACACCGGCAGGCATGGGATTGCGGCCTATGTGAATTTGAAGTTTTTGTTTTTTGTTTTTTTTGAACCAAGGACACAGACGCTCTCTCTTCATCTATCTATTGCTATTGCTATTCTTTCTTTTCCCCACCTCTGTTGGAAGTTGGAGATTATATTATAGACTTTGGAGTTGGCGAATGTGACCAACATTTGTTTAATGCTCCTTCATCCATTATTAAACAACGTTGAGAAATATACTAAACCTGCCCAAAACCCTGTCAGAGTGTCTTCAAATCCATAACAGTATTCAAATTCCTGTCAATAGCAGATTGATGGAGGGCTAGCTTAGTTGGAACAAATTTTGCTAAAACGCTCACAGTTGATTTGCAAGAACGTATTCACAGGTGCGCGTGTGATTGTACGCATTGCGATGGCAATTTTGCCCATACCCATGGGTATTTTACTATCCAACCCAATTGGGTTGGGTATGGATTCCAAATAAATGGTAGATGGGTAGAGTTTGATGGATTTGTACCCATACCCATTTACTTGGGTTGGGTTGGGTTTTTAACAAATGGATTTGGGTTTGTACCCATGCCCAAAGGCAAATTACAGTTTGGTACCTAAATTTAATAGATATGCATATCTAGTACCTAAATTTAATTTTTTTTGCATATAAGTCCTCAAAATATCGATGAAAAATTACGTTTTGGTACCTAAATTTTTTTGGTCTTACATTTTGGTACCTAAACTTTTCAAGTTTTACAAATAGGTCCAATAGCCTAGCCGGGTTGGCACCGTGATTCTTGGACTATCGATAAGGAGATTCTGTAATCGGAATCGGGTGCTTTTCCCATCCTCCCTGTTGAGTCCAGACCCCAGACCCCAGAATAAAGCGTATTGAACAGTCTGTTAAGAATCCAGCAATCCTAATGCCCACCAGGCCCAAATCTAAACACTGGCCCAATACCCACACTAGGTTACGGTACGAAAATGCAGAGCATACCAGTTATTGGATCCAACCTAAAACTCAAACTGAAGCAGCAGCAGCCAGCAGCCAGCAGCCACTCATCCAAAAGCACCAGCAAACTTTGCTTATCATGTTCAGGGTTGCTGATTAAGGGTCTAGCTTTAAGTGTTCAACCCCATATCTGCTTAGATAAAAGACAGGCAATCGACTTAATCAAAACATCCTAATTTGTTCCAATCTTTCAATTTGGTGATTCAGATTGGCTTCTATCATGTTTTCGGTCCTCACTTTGTAATCAGCTGAATCCGCAAAATGTAAAGAGATCATGCCATTGACATACAATCATAAATAGTTTGTCATTCAAGTTCTATTAACACATTCAAATTTCGGTTCAAATAGTCCAGTTTATATGCAGAGAACAGCTGGATTCTACTATATTCGAAAAGTATGAAGAGCACCGTGTATGGACTCTCAGCTTCTGAGTTTCATTTCTTCCATTGAGGAAGCCTCTGAACCACAACCTGAGGAATGGAGAAACACCACAAAATTTGTAGATAATCAAACATGGCAGCCATGTACCAAAAAGAGAAAGATGATTGTTTTTAGGATTTAGAAAAGCAGAGGGAGAACAAAGAACAAAAGCTGAAAGAAACACAAACTTGTTCAAGATTGATGGACGTCATTTTGCCAGTGGAAGAGGGGAACTAACAAATTACCTTGCCCGAGTTTTCTTTGTTCCCCACAATGGTTTGACAGGCCAGTCTCCATGTTTCTGGTTTCTGCACAATTGTAAGCAGTAGCTGAATATAGGAGCATGTTATTCTAGAAAAGAATTAGCAGAGGTAAGCTTACAGGCAACAAGCAACTCTAAAGTAACGACTTATGAATGTAGAAACAGACAACTTTCTGTATCCCCGTTCAAAATCCAAGCCATACTCAATCCGAGTCCAACCTGTAATCACTTCTTATATGAGCTCTGTTCTGTTGAAAGTGTTTGAGCATTAACCTTCTCCATCGAAATTTAGAACGTCTCAACTGATTCGGTCACATTAGATGCTCTCTCAGAGAAGCAATCTAATCAACAATCAAGAAAATGTGCCTAAGAATCAAGGCTTTACCTTCTTAAGATACCTGAATTCTGCATCAGTTCTTTCATTCAAAAGATCACTCCCCTCAATAATCTGTAGAAAATAATAGGTTAACCGGGAGAGCCCAAGAACCATATGAACGAAAAGAACCAACTTCATAGAATCGATGATGCAAACCAGGAGAATCTATCACCTATTAGGCATTAGCAACAAAGGAATTTCAACTCTTTAGAGTCATTCACTAACAATTAGCTTAATGCACAGAACTGTTTAAAGGTATGGTGGAAGATCTAATCTGCAGCTTTCCAAAAAATTCAAGTAAACATTCTTTGGATTAATAACATATTCTTAATATTTTAGATCCAATGGAGAACAATCGAAAATGGAAAAAAAGGAGATTAGATAGACCTCAACAATGCAGGTTCCGCAGGTTCCACCACCTCCACAGTTCATTACCTTCCCCTGTTACCATGAATCAAAAAGTCCATTACTTTCAGAACCAATCAACGATTAGCCACTAGATCGAAACCAAAATCTTTGTACGCCATGGATAAAAAAACTTACATACGTCGCGTAAAGCTCGAGCTTGTTATCGAGCATGATGGTTCTCAGAAGCTTCTCCCCACTTACCGCTCTTGCTTCCTCCACAGGATAGCTCCTACCATCACTCTCTGGCTTCGGCTGCCCCGCCGGCAAAACACAGAACACCGCTCTCAGTGATTCCAGGAACTGGAATTAACAGACGAGAAGAGAACGACTACAGTTTTTACTGAATGCTTCTTACCCCAATGAACTGCAGCTCGATCACAGGCTGCTCAGAGACCTTTGGTGATGATTCCGACGAATTGGCGGTTACCGAGACTGAAGCTCCTCTTCTCCGCGGGAGAAGCTTGACAGAGGAGCTCCGGTGGACGTCGCATTTCCCCGGAAAGGATGTCGGTAGGCAGAGTGAGGTCCAAGCGAAATGAGTGGCTGCCATTGCTGGTTTTGCAACCCCTCCCTTGCTATCTCCTCCTACAGAGATTTGCTTCAGTAGGATTTCTCTTTCCTGTCCTCGACGCTTTAAACCGGAGCTCGCACATTCCAGAAATTAAGGCAAGGGTAATTTGGTAATGGTATTCCATCACCCAGAGGAGAGTTCTAATTCAGGCATTCCGTCGAACATCTGAGGTGCAAAAAGCGAAAACATTTTCATTTCGGTTCCTTAATTCGTTAAATTGCACAGTTACTCCCCCGTTTTCATCACGAAGTACAAATACAAACGCAGTGCCGGCCGCCGGGGGGAAGGGGTTCAGGCGACCGGAGATTGATTTGATTAAAAATGTGGGGGCAAAAGATGGCCGCTCAAGCTGCAAACGAATAGGGCAGCGAGCAACCATGGAAGCCTCCTATCTTTACTGTGAGCCCATCACACTGACGTGTGCCACAATTGAAACCTTTTCTCGTGGAATACCACGCCACCGCTACCTCAAGAGGTAAAGCGCTCGGCCTTGGGCTCTGCTTGCTTCTCTTCTCCCCCATTGCCCCTGCTTTTATAGCAATCTGCTAGGGTTTACTCTTCACTGTTTCCCATTTACTTAAACGACGCCGTAGTTTTGATTCCCCCGTTCCCATTTCCATTACGATCGGCGTGTGGATAGCTCGTCCAAGTTCAAGGAAATTAGGCTTGTAGCTGAAGAAAATACAGGAATGGAAAGAGTTCGATTCAATCTCAACAACGTGAGGTTAATCGTCGGTCGTCGGCAGCTCCATGGATCATGCAGTTCGGATGTGAAGCGGCCGCGGCGGCAGCAACCTACTCTACCAAAGTCATTACCGATTCCCGACCTTCATAATCCGTACTTGCATCAAAGTCCTAATCCTCCTGAAGCTAAGTACTCGCAGCAGGAGTTCGCTACGCTCTGTAGTCTTCTCAGAGAGTCCAATCTCTGTCCCGGTTCTTCCCTCCAGAATGCTTTGGACGGGACAGGAATCGAGCCGGAGCAGCCTGGTCTGTTGGAGGCGGTATTTGAGAAATTCGATTCGTCTCCTAGATTGCTCTACTCGGTGTTTTTATGGGCTGAGAAGAGACCGGGGTTTCGGTGCTCTGAGGCGCTGTTCAATTCGATGATTAACACACTTGGCAAAGCGAGGGAATTCGACACTGCGTGGTCTCTGGTTCTTGATAGAAGTGGTGGAGATGAAGCCCTTCATTTGGTTTCCGGTGATACATTTGCCATTCTCATCAGAAGGTATGCTCGTGCAGGTAAGGTGATTGTAGACTGTTCAGTTTTATGCTTACAAGTTCCGCCATTGCTTTTAGTATAACATGCGTGATTTAGGAACTTCCATTGTCTGTAAGTGGTGCTGTATATTGTTTTATGATCATGAAGCGGTAACTGGCAGACCTCGTTTGTTGCAGGATTACCTGAAGCTGCAATCAGGACCTACGAGTATGTGAGAAATTTAGACTTGCTTGGCAAGCCAGATGCTGGAATTCGCTTGCTTGAGATTTTGTTAGATTCTCTTTGCAAGGAAGGGCATGTTCAGGCAGCTGCAGAGTATTTCCGGAGTAAAAAGAAGACAGAACCTTGCTGGGTTCCCACAATTCGTGTATATAATATACTTTTAAATGGATGGTTTAGGTCCAGAAAGCTTAAACAAGCAGAGAGGCTTTGGTTTGAGATGAAGAAGAATGACGAAGTGAAACCGAATGTTGTGACCTATGGTACTCTTGTAGAAGGATATTGCAGAATGCGACGTGTTGAGATTGCACTTGAGTTGGTGGATGAAATGAGAAGAAAAGAAATCAAGCCGAATGCTATTACATACAATCCAATTATTGATGCACTAGCTGAAGCTGGCAGGTTTAAGGAGGCTTCTGGGATGATGGAGCACTTCTTACTGTGCGAGACAGGCCCTACTCTCCCCACATATAATGCTTTGGTTAAGGGATACTGCAAAGCTGGGGATCTTGTAGCCGCCAGTAAGATTCTTAGAGCCATGATCGATAGGCGATTCATTCCTACTTCCACAACATATAACTATTTCTTCAGGCATTTTGCAAAATTCCGAAAAGTTGAGGAGGCAATGAACCTGTATACGAAGATGATTGATTCTGGATATGCCCCTGATCATCTCACCTACAATCTCTTGTTGAAGATGTTGTGTGAGGACGAGAGGTTAGACTTAGCTGCTCGGATTAGTAAGGAGATGGAAGTGAGAGGATGTGATATGGATTTGGCTACTAGCACAATGTTGACTCATTTACTATGTAAGTTGCACAGATTTGAAGAAGCAGTTGCAGAGTTTGAGAAGATGTTGAGGAAGGGTTTAGTCCCTCAGTTCCTTACTTTCAAACGATTGCACGACGAGTTAAGCAAGCGAGGGATGAATAAGATGGCTCAGAAACTAAGGACCATGATGTCTTCGGTCCCTCATTCCACAAAACTACCCAATACTTACGACGGTGATGGAGATTCATCGCGATACGCAAGGAGGAAATCTATTTTGCGGAAGGCAGAAGCTATGTCTGAGATTCTGAAGACGTGCAGCAACCCAAGAGAGCTTGTTAAGGGTAGAGGTCTGAATCCTAATCCTCTATCGAGTGCTCATCAGTTGATGATGGACATAAAAGGAAGAGCCAACTGAAATGAGGAATAATGAAGTATTAGAGGGTTAATTCTCTATTCTGCATTCATTTTACACTGCTCTGAGCGTCATATGTGCATGAATTATAGCTCATGCCAAAGGAGTTGGGGCACTGAAGAAATGGTCTCTTGATTGAGTTTAGAAGAAAGGTTCTGCCCGTGGCACCAAGTTCACTGTTTGCCCATTTGTTTATTTTCATGGAGGAGATCTCAAAGTTGGGAGCCTTGACACAAGTTGTTGGTCCACGAAAGAGAATATTTTGAGGGTGCAGAAACACCAACCGTATAACAGTGTTAAAAATTCTTGCTTCAACTCCAGATTGTGATGGCTGGAAAGTGGGTCCCCAACTGCTGCTGGTAATCATCTCAATCGATTCCTTTTGAATTATTGGCATAATTGTATAAATAAGTATGCTTATTTGGTTTTACCGATTGCTCTTCAGACACATAAGTATGATGGTTTTCTTTTGTCATGCTCGATTGTTACTAATCAGACTAGTTGGCTGCTGCAGAAGTATTGCAGAGGTGATAGGATAATTGGGGGGGGGGGGGGGGGGGGGAGATTTTAGGGTTATAGTTTTAGTTGTTGTAGTGTGACCTAAGTGGGTGAAGGATTTGTGTGATCAAAACAAAACCAAATGTTGGAAAGGAAATGGCTCCCCCCCTGCATTAAGTTTAGCACTCGAGAGAGTGCATATTGGTTGAAGAATAGTTTCATTTCCATATTGCTCTCTCCCTCTCCCTCTCCACAAGACGAGAGGGGAAGAAAACCAAACCTAAATGGTTGTGTCCATAGTACATCCAAGCTTGAATTGTTAGGTATATATAATTCGCTATAATGTGTCAACCTCCTTTGCGTTGTCAATCCAGTGTAAAGTCTCTTTCTCACTATGTACGTATGGGTTGGTTGAATGACAAAATTTTGTCTCTTAAATAGAGTATTTGTACAACTTAAGATGATTGTTTCGTTTTTTTTTTTTGAAGAGAATTGTTTGGCTTTGTGCTTAGTTTAATGTTACATATAGTGTGTTCATAGAAGAAAATACAATGAGGTCAGTTGGTGTAGTGTGGTAAAAAGTGAAATCAACTATGTTAATACGAAGAGTAAAGTAAATGGTGAGCTATGAATGTTGGAAGATGTGTACTTCATATTAAATTATAACATGTTTTACAAACATGTGATGATTTTCAAACTTACGAACATTATAACATGCTGTTTTAGAAAAGGACATGTTTGTGTAATTTAATAGGCGCTATACAAGCTTTATGGCTAATACATTCGTCATGTTGATTGGGTAGCTTGCAGTTGCAGGTTAGTTAATATGAATATTATACAATCACTTCCTCTTTCCATTTGAACTATAAAGTATACTCATAGCTTGCTACTTTGAGGTTATCAATTATTTCATGAATCAAAATTTGGCTTTTACAAGCTTGGTTGGGGTTTTTTATTTTCTCCTCATCATATCGAATAGTTGGCTTGGCTGTTCAAAACAAACAAAAAAAATAGTTGAGAGAAAAAGGTGTTGCCATTATTGCAATTTTGCTACTATATGCAGTCTGCAGCACAACCTCTCCCTCGTGTTTCTCTCCCACTGCTACTACTCCCAAAAACAGATAAAAACACAGACACAATTATTCCTTCACCCCAAAATCCAAAAGTGAAAAACTGAAAATAGAACATTTTCAGAAACAGACAGAAAAACAGAGAGGGGGAGAGCAAAACGAGCAAATGAAAAATGCAGATTGGGGAGAGAAAGTGGGCATTAGAAATTGAAGAATCATAATTTCATAACAACACACAAATATCATCATCTATTCATTCTACTGAGAATGGTGGAGAGAGAGTTTGAAACTTTTGCTTTTTAATGCTCCTCCCTCTCCCTCTCTTGGTCCGAAAAGACTCTTGCTGCTTGCTTTCCTACTTTGGTCCATAGCACGATTCCCCCCTCTCTCTGCATAGCTTTGCTTTCCTGAAAATCGTGCCCCCTTTCTCCTCTGTCTCTCTCTCTCTCTCTCTCTTACCAGGAGGAAAAAAAGGGGAGCGAAGAGGGAATAATGAGTATCATTCAGATTCTGAAGCACGAGATGATGTTTGCGGCGTGGACGGTGGCTGTGGTGATGGCGTTGACGGACAGGAATCAACGGCTGGACTGACGTCCGGAATGGAGATGCCATGGTGATGATGGCGCAGCAGCAGTCTAAAGCTAGCAGCAATGCCAATCTTCCGCACGACATTTCATTGAGTACCCAACAGCAGCAGAAGGAAGCGAAGGCGGCGGCAATGTTTCATGGCTTTCTTGGTATGAAGCCAAGCAGTAGTAGTATTAGTAATAGTAACGATAAAAGAAGCAAAAACAACAATGAAGCCTCTGCAGTTTTGGCCTCCTCTAGAAACGCATCTGCCTCCTCATCTGCTTCTCAATCTATTGTGGCTTCCTTTGCTGGCGCCGGCATTGCTATTCCCGGTGGCCGTGGTGGGGGAGGCCTCCTTTCCACCGCTTCTGATCTCGCCAGTGGTAAGTTGTTCCATCTTTCTGCTTGGGTTTCTCATTTTTCGGCAGAAAGGTTATTACTTTTACATTTGTTTGTTGGTTGTGGTCTTATTTTGATGTTAAAGTGGGAACCTTTTGGCTACCCCCGTTTTCATATCATCACGTCATTAATTGGTAGGAAAACGAGAAAACTGATACCAATCTTGTGTTCTGGAGAATGGAGTGGGTTTATTTCTTATTCATCAGTTTTAGTTGAGTTGAGTGATGGAGTTGTTAGCTAAATTTTGTACCATTCCCTCTTCCTGCATTGTCTTGCATTGTTTCATTATTCTATTCTAGTGACGTTTCGGTGTTGCTTAGCAAACAACTGGTTTTGTTGGCACTTTTCATATTGTTTTGAAGTGTTGGTTCAGTTAAGCTCTCTTGTCTTGCTTGGTGATTGCATTTTCCTTTTGTCAGCATTGGTTTTACTGTTCGAGGTGTTACTCTATTGTGCCTTTTATGTATGCATTAGTTTTGTTAATTACTGCGTATCCCTTTCTCTCCTCATGGTGAGACGCTTGTATCTATGGCGGGGTGAGTTGATAGACGCAATCTTAGTTGGTCTTCCCATGTTTTCGGAGTGTGTTGATGTTTAAAGCTTTGTTGGTGCTCCTTTGTAGAAAGACAGGTTCCAAATCATCTAGAAGGGATTCCATATTATGTGCCAAGAAGTGATCTTTCTGTAGCAGGAAGTAAAAGAAGCAACTTGGATTCTGCCTTTATTGCAAGGGACGGAGTTACACAAATCATTGGCCCTGACTCCTCTGAAAGCCTGCATTTGATGAAGGTTAGCTTCAGGAGGTCCACCAATCTTTGTTCATCCTGTCGACATTGGCGATGAAAGATCCTTTATATTTTTACCATTTGCAGATGTTGAGAAAGGCAGGTCCAGGAGAGAGACCTAAAAGGTCCGCAGATGATGATCAGGGCTTGTTTGGTGTGCAGTCAAGGCCTAGTTCAGCCTCACTTATATTGCAACCTTCTACTACTGGGAGTAGGCTCGATCCTAACAAGTGGGAAAGATCTGCGGTGCAATATCCTCGTCGTGGGAGTCATCATGTTCCTTTTACTCACCAACTCAGTGCAAGCAGATTTGGAGGGGAAGCCACTGCTGCTGGTGTATCAAGTATTTCTCAGGCAGCAGCTGCGGACGAAGGATCCAGAACTAGCATCAAAGGTCCTGGAGTGTTGAGCTCCATCAATTGTGGCGCTGGTAATTCAGAAAGAACTACTGCGGCTGTCCAGGCGAGTGATAGCAAACCCAGGCCTGGTACTCACATTTTAGAACCAGAAGCTTCAACTCATTCAAGGTGGCCTTACTAAAAAGCCGTAGTACTTACCTTTGTTGTTTCGCATTCTTAAACTACTTTTTACTGCTTGAAGGTATTTATAATGGTTCCTTTTATTTTCAGTTGCCAGGTTCCAGCATCTGCAAGTCGGCAAATGACCATATTCTATGGTGGTCAAGCGCATGTATTTGATGATGTTCACTCTAACAAGGTTTGTCTTCTATCCATTTACAGCTCCAGTGGAGACATCATCCTCTGTTGGTATAAGCATCTCTATCTGCAAGCTTTGGTAACCAAAAGCTGTTTTTGTTTGATGAACCTTCGTGGTAATGCAAGCTAACCACTATGCTTAAAAATAAATGTGATCAAGTGACTTTTTATTTATAAGCTGATAGTACACTTCGAATACGAGGCCTGGGATCTCAACTGTGCACAGAAATTTGCGTGCCCGACGAGTCAAATGCTCATGCTTCAGTTGTTGTTGTTCTCGGATATTCTTAGATCTTCTTGGTTGAAATAGAAGCAAGTGCATGCTCTTGGTTTTATTGCAGAGAGTGCCAAGTGTTGTTGCTTACATCTATATCATTTATGTTACAGGGAAAACTATACACATGCTGTTTAGTTCATTCCTTGCACTGCGTTCTCTCGTTTACCTTTCCATGATCTTGGAAGAGGAGTTCCAATTTATAAGTTAGTAACGTTCCCCCAAGTATTGGTTAATCGGCTCATTCTTCTCCTTTCTCTTCGTCTAGGCAGTGTTCCTATTGGACCTTCACTCTTCTGCAATGCATAAAGCTTAGTATTCCTGGACCTTCACTCTTCTGCAATGCATAAAGCTTAATGTCTGTTTAGACCCATCATTGCTTGCTCCAATCTGATTCCTCTGCTACATATACATGGATGTATCATTCAAGGCAACATACTATACAGACTGAACATGCAGAGAAATTCTATAATAAACTCCCTCTAAGTCACTTAACCAAAAGCTTGCTGCCCCCAGGTTGAAACTAAGGTACCACGACTTCACTGATTGCTGCTGTTGGTTCATGTTTTCTTCAGGCAGATGTTATAATGGCGCTGGCTGGATCAAACGGGATTTCATGGTCCACGACTTACACGCCAAAGCCTACCCTTACTACAAGACCAAGTGGTGGAGGGAAAACTTCCGTGGGGAGCGTTGGAGAGTACGACACAAGTGATGCAGGAATCAATGGCGCGTTATCGGAGCGTGAGCTCCGAAGAAGGCTGCCAGTCGTCGGTAGTTCCATACCTACTGGGGTGCCCTCTAGTGACCAGATGATAATACGACCAACAGGTGAGGATTGAGAGTACACAGAGTACCCCCACTGAAAATTGAATACCTTGACCTTGATCCGTTAATTAAAAAGTAATGGATGCTGCATTGTGCAATGGATGTTCTTAGGCGGTCATCATCGTGAGTGCGGCGGTGTTGTATTGGGGAGTGGTAAAGACTAAAGAGACGAGAGACCAAGAGCTCAAGGGAGAAGGGAGTGCAGAAAGAAGAGGTGTTTGATGTTTTTCTGAATTGGTATAGAAGAAATAAGTCGTCGCTGCTGTTGTTGAAGAAGGGCGGTGAGTAATGGTCAAGGGTTGTTGTAAATCTACACATACTATAATACACCGAAGTGAAAAACGGGAGCCCCATTTCAAATTTCCTGCAACGAGAGTGAAAGTAGGAAATACATACTGGGATTTGAACCATGACCATTTTAAAGAAAGACAAGGATCATAACCAATCACACTAAGTACATTTGTTGTATCTTTTTAAATTAAAAACATATAATAGCGGGGTGGAAAAAACTCTTCCCCATTTCAAATTCCCTGCTCCAGGAGCGTTTGTAGGAAGGGTAGAATAGGGAGTACCAATTTTTTCTCTTTCATCTGTGGAACGGGCCAACTTACCGTACACATGCGGATTTAAACGGGTCTAGGAGTGTCAATTTTTTTCCTTATACCCTTTTCTTTCTCCGTGGTGATAAAATATATATGAAAAGGCAAAAATAATACTCCTTTTTATTGTTAAAAATAAAAAATTTAGCAATAAACGAATGCATGGTATCTAATGGGCTAACCGCTAACCATAAAATAAAAGAGTTGAATGGGTCTGACCTACATGGGGTTTGGCCATCAAGTAAAACAAATGAACATCATTGGTTTGCCATTCTAAAACAAGCTATTTTCTCTGGCATAATATATATTATGCTATTATTTTATATCTTAGTGGCTAAAATATAATGTATTTTAAAGTTATTCAATGGTTTAACCTCGACCAACCCAATTATTCCAATTTTTATCATTTCAAATATATATTTTATAATTATTTGACATCATATTGATCAATGCAGTCAAAATCGCGCTTTAAATCTTAAGAGCTTACGCTTTTCCTTTTCAAGATCACCAAAACGCTTCTATGTAGAACCGTGTTTTTTCCTTACAAGTGTAGTCAAAATCTACGCTTTAAAGCTTAAAAGCTTACGATTTTACGCTTCTAGATCACCAAAACGTTTAAAGTTAGAATCGCGCTTTTGACTGCATTGATATTGATCAAATTATAGTGTGTTTTATAGGGAATCGTTTGGTATTTGTTAGTAAAAAACTAAACATAAAGATCTATTTGGTTATTTTAAACATTAAAACGATCCTAAACATTTTCAGTTCCTTTTGAATTTCTATGGTTTTATTCCCGAATAAGTGATGTGCAAATGGCGAATTGTAGTCGTCTCTTTTCTTTCACTATTTTTTATTTTCAAATAGAAAGTTTAAAAGTAAAGAATAATTAGAATTTGGCATGGGTCGGTCAAACAGGCTGAATTTCAAGTTTTGGCCCGTTGTTTTATGCATTGCAAATTTATTAGCATGTTGATGGAAATGGCTTGGAAAAAAGACATATAAGTTGTACCTTTGCAGAAATGTCCTCAAATATTTGAATGCTTTGTGAATCAAGTTCCGGGACTTTTGTGATGGTGTATGTGCTTGACGATTGCTCGATGTTGTAACTACTTAATTTGAGAGTAAATCTTTTGATTTTCCCTATGAGTTGTGATACAAGTTCTGGTGGTTGCAGCATGTTGTCGTTGTTGGCCTGTAAAAGTTGTTACTCCGTGATGCTAATTACCTTTCTTTCTTTTTTAACAAATTGTGTAGTAGTGCTATGAAACAGACCACCCATGAACGCTATGCTTATTATGGTCCGTTCTTACTTCCGGTGGTGAGAAATTGTAAATTGAGAATCATATTCGCCTACGCACTGTGTCTGGCTGGTGGCTGCTTACTGTGCTCTCTAGAGTTATGAAATAGACTACCCATGAACGTTACCCTTAAGAGTCCATAACTTTGCGAAAAAACCAAATTTAGGCAATCAAAGGTGGTGGATGTGTGATGATTTTTTATGGCTTAATTGTTTGTGAATTGGATATCTGATCTTTGTATGATTAGAGGGGATGTTTGCTTAATAGAATAATCCATTTTAATTCATGTTTATTTTTAACATGAACTTTAGTAACTCAAAACCTTCGAGACACATATCACCTACTGCATTGTATCATTTTGCCTAGGTGCTTGCTGTGTTGTCAAACTTCTTTGCTGCTGCTGCATTTACACTAACAGGGGGGGGGGGGGGGTTAAGAACCCATGAATGTTTCCGTTTGACACAAACAAGAGGACTTACTTCTAAATCGTGCATTAAAGATGATTGGAGGAAACATTTTTGTTGCAGTTGATATACTGGAGACCATAACAAAAGCAACTTATAACATAAAAACCAACCATCTTAACTATTAGCATTGTTGCCTTACTCTTTTTTCGTGGTTGAGTCTCCTTCAAAAAATTTAGTTTGATTTTAGAAAATTTTGCTTCTGCAGTCCTGTCTTGCCACCAACGCGTTTAGTAGATGGAGATGGCAGAGGCGAAGGCTATTTTTGTGTTGTTGTTGCTGGGTTAGGGATCGGTTTGTGAAGAAGAGGGGAAAGAGAGGGGGAAAGGGAAATGCAGGAGAGGGGGATAACTCTTTTCTTCGACAAAAATGGAGTGAAGAAAGGAATTATGATCAGTAAGGATATGGTTATCTTACATAACGGTCTCTATTCTGTTTGAATTGAGCTTGGGAGGCAGTGATAAGGACGAGCTGCAACCAATTCATAGTGATAAGAGTGCTATGAACTGTGATCATGTCTTATTTCAAGTTAGAAGGTAGTTTCAGTATAAGGATTATTTAATTTGACAAGTTGTTTCGTCCATGATTCTTGGTAGTTTCAGTGCCATTCTAGCCATTGTTTAGTCTGTAATTTTTGAGAATTGATGTGCGAGTAATGACTTTCACTTAGCTTCAACTATTATGTGTGTATTTATTGGCATGTGATAGAATTCTCTTTTCCTTTTCTTCGAATTAAGTTTCATACTCTAATTGTATCATTTGTACATAGGCAAATCATGCTCGAGATGACAACTCGCTGATATGGCTGGTGCAAGGAATGAAACCATCATTAGAATTCAGACAGACAACGGGGAGGGATGCCTAGGACTAATTCAATGATGATTGATGATGGTATAATAAAAACTGCAGTCTGCATCAGCACCAATTTCTAGGCCTAAGTAAAGTTATTCAACCCAGAACTCTGCTTAGCGCTAAAAATTGCCCTCACCCAACCTTGATCTTGTTTGACCCACTTCTGAAGAGTCAAGATATATGACTAATCCTCTCCGTTCGTATTTTCTTATTAACTCTTTCCGACCCTTTAGGTTGGGGCGGGTCGGGAAGAATCGGATTAGTGGATCGGTCCTAATCAAGTGGAATCTCAATCCCTTCACTCTCACTTGCTTTCTCTCCCATTCCACAAGTGGGTAACATGCAATAATCCGGCCAACGGGCCTGGTAATAAGCTAGTGTAAAGTAAAATGAAATGTCATGTCCTGTTTTATGGGAGAAAAAAGGGATTGTTTTTCATTTTTTACTCTTTTTGCTATACTCTTTTTACCGATGCTCATGCTTCCGTTCCGTGTTGTCTTTCTTATGTCGGGTAGTTATCATAAAAGGTCACAAAATTAATCACTTTGTACAAAACGGTCACAAACCTTCAATTTTGCACGTTTTAGTAATATATCTTTTGACTAATAACAAAACGATAATTTCGTCCATCTCCATCCAAAATTATGTTAGTTTGGTCCAATCAGATGTCTCGTCAGCATCCACATCCGCAAAATAATTAATAAAAAATAAAACAAAAATCAAATCAATCCTACCCACCAACCCAACCGATTCCTCTCCATCTCCGCAGAACTGAGGAAAATCCGCTGCGATGTCTGCGACAAGGCGAAAGCCATCGTCTTCTGCAGTGCTGACGAGACTGCCCTCTGCTCCTCCTGCGACAAGGGCGAAACCACCCACGTCCCTTCCCAGGCTCCAAAGGGCCGACCGATCAAGAACATTCTCTGGCTTAATTGGTTTTTCAATTCGCCTGCTGCTGACAGGTATCTAAAATGAGAACAGCTTTGAAATTTGCTTCCATGGCGGAAGCCATTTCTCATAATTCCATTTCACAATACTTTAAGAGAGAAGAAAGAAGAAGAACAAATAGCTCTAATTATCGGTGGTGTCGGATTCAAAACCACATTGACGTCGGTCCAATTAATTGGTTTTTATTTTATTTTTTATTAATTATTTTGATGACGTGGATGCTGACTGAACAGTTGACTGGACTAAACTAACATAATTTTGGATGGAGATGGACGGAATTACCTTTTTGTTATTAGTTCAAACATATGTTACTGAAACGTGCAAAATTAAAGGTTTGTGACCGTTTTGTACAAAGTAAATAGTTTTGTTACCATTTATGATAATTACCCTTCTTATGTCATATGCGAATGCGACCAATCCTATATTCCCTTCCCGATTGGTGTTCTTTTTTGTTGGTTGAAAAAAACCCCGAAAGAGCGCACAAAAACCTGAAAGAAAAGCCCAGATAAGGGTGTGACAAAAGCCCATCGGTGGAAGATGGATATTTGTAGTTGTTTGAGCCTAGAATGTTCTAGGCGATTTCGTGGAGAACGAGTGAAGCGTCTGTTCCAGATGATGGGGGACTCCAAGCTCCTGCAAAACAAGGGTCCGTGGGCGGTCACCCCGGACACCCTCCGATGCTTAAGTTAGAGATAGAATAAGAGTTTTTAGTTTATGTTTAGAGAGAGAGAGAGTAGTTGGGTTACCATCAATGCAGGTATGAATGTATTTATAGTGGGTTGGCCTGGGCTTCGGGCATTAAATGCCATTGTCAGGCGTCCTAGATCAGCCATGCTTTATCTAGACCGCCTACGGCGGACAATTAATGCTCAGTCCTGCGGTGTTCGAGGCGAGTATCTTAGGAAGATCTCGCCCTCTGCCAAGCAATGGCTCCTTGTGTCAGGCGTCCTACTGTCTGTCTCATCCTAGGGTGGCCGCTCTCCTTTCTCCGTTCCCCATGCCTGCTTCCTGGGCCCCTCGACGGGCCTTCCTCCTTGGGCCTCTTGTGGGCCTCCGAGCCCAACACCGCTCAGCTATGACCCAACAATTGCCCCTTAGTCGTGAAAAGCTGCGGATTTTGGCGGCTACTGCCTTTGCTATCTAATGGCTGAGCGGTTCTCATACTAACCGCTGTCCACCCTTTTGCCCCTGGCCGCCATAGAGACGTGGTTTTTCCAACCATCCCATGTAGTCCATCTTCATTACGCTACTCGAATTTTCCCTTTCCTTGAGCGGTTGCGCTGTCCACCCCTTTCTGATTACCACGCTTATTAGT